CAGCAGGAGGCTGTGCTGGAAATTGAGATGCAAGTATCCTCATCTGTCATGGAGTCCTCCTGGTGCCCCCTTTTGTCTGACTTTGGCATCCTGGTAAAGCAAGGCTTGGAAGGGTTGCCTTCCCTTCAAGACGAAGGACCATGATGTGTTTCTGTCCTCAGTCTTCTCACATAGAGAAGGGAGTGGGAGAATAGGCTCTGTGGTGCCTGGAGGTAACAGGACTATTCTAACAGAGTATGCTAAATGTCATAACAAAGTTGAGTATCAGGACCACTTGAAACCATTTATGTCAGGGAAAGTTTGAAGTAGGAATTTAGGCTGGGTCATAAATAAATAAATAATGAAAAATATTCTCCAGGCTGGCAAAAGTGAGGAGAAGGATTCCTTAACAAAGACAAGAACACGTTCAAATCTCAGGAAAATGAAATGGTATGGATGGTCTGGTCACTCCTGCTAAAGCACAGCTTGAGAACAGATGGGGATCGGCAGTGACCGACTCATGGCACTGCCAGGAGAAGTCTAGACTTTATTCTGTGTTCAGCTAGGACTCTGTAAAGTTTTCAGCAGGGAAATTACATTCCCAGATACGTGTTTTAAGAAGATCATTTCAGGGGCCAGCAGGTGGTGTAGTGGTTAAAGGCGCTAGACTCCCACAAGTCAACTGTGTTTCAAGTCCCAAATCTAGTGGCTTGCTTTTCTCACTTTACATTTCTTTCTCTGTCTCTCATTGAGGAGCATACGTGCCTTATAGCCAATTAAATAATGATAATGATTAAAATTAAATAAATAATTTTAAAAAAAAATTTTAAATCACTTTAGGGACCAGAAGATGGCATCATAATTACTTCATTGGATTCCCATGTAGTCAACGGTGGTTCGAGTCCTGGACCCAGTGACTTAAAAACTCATGCCAGGCACATGTACATGCATGCACAAGATCCCGAGAGGAGACTGGAAGAGAAGGGATTGTGGTGTGGCCATCCCCCTGGGGGTTATTTCTCAGTTTCTGTCTCTCTGTTTCTCCAGCGAGCACATATGCCCTATAGTAAAAAATCTCTCTCTAAAAGAATAACTTCTTGTTCATAGTCAAAGCAAGTTATGTTCCAGGCTTGGAAAACTGCAAATGGATTTTTTTCTCCTATATGAATGGCTTGTAAGAACCCTTAAAGTTGTGTAAAATATAGAAATAATTGTGTGAAATTGTCCTGTGCAACCATAAATATCTAGTATACTGCCTCCCTTTATGTGATTGTAATATTTGAGCCATTCTGATGCCTAAATCAAGGTATGATCAAAAATTTTCACAGGGCTGGCAGGTGACATGGTGGTTAAGGCACTGGATTCCCACATGGTCAACCACAGTTCGGGTCCCAGACCTGGTGATCTGTTTTCTCACTTTCCCTATCTCTCTCTGTCTCCCTCTGGTCAAATAAAAAAGTAATGATGATGAGGAGGAAAAGAATTATGTTTTTAAAAATTTCTGAAACATTCCCATGAGGTGAAAATATTCTAACGCCATTGGGAACTGGTGTGTTTGGGGAATGTTTCAGAGAAAACACAGCATTTTCCTTTCTCAGCAGCTATGGGGATCATTTTGGCTTAAAAATAAGAAATTAACTTTTTATGGAGAACTCTGATCCTGTTCATTGAGAGATCTTTGGTGTAACTCAAACTATACAAGATACCCTAATGGGCAGTCAGAAAGACAAGAAGGAAGAAGAAAGTATCATGTCTAATTTTTTAGTTTTTAGAAAAAGTCTCATCTCTGCCTCTGAGTGCTTATGTGATCTTAGGCAATTCATGAACCTCAACAAGCATTTCTCTTTTTGAGAGAGATTTTTGCTATAGGCCATGTGCACTTGCTGGAGAGACAGAAGACAGAAAGCAAAAAATCAGCCCCTGGGGGGGATGGACATGCCACAATCCTTTATCCTCTATCCTCCTCTAGAGATTTTGGGCATGCATGTGCATGTACCTGGCATGAGTTTCAAGCTACCAGGTCTGGAACTCAAACCATGGTTGGCCACATGGGAGTCCAATGCCTTAACCTCTTTACCACCTCCTGCCTCCCAACCCCAACAGGCATTTCTTCAAGTCCTGGGGGTCTGGAGGTAGAGTTAGGGATAAGATATAGAAAATGGCCCTATCTTGACTTAACAGGTGGGATATGAGCCACTGGATCTAGTGTTGTGCTAGCTTTGAGAGTCAATCTAAATTTTCAGGAATTTTTGAGCCAATTGACAATATCTTGGAAACTTGAAATTGGCCATCGTGATCATTATAAACCGTAGTAACTGGTAAAAACTGAAAATCAGGGCTTTCCCCACTCTCCAAAGCAATTGTTAAACATTCACTAGTACGCCACTGGTTGAAGTTCTCCTCCATCCAGTAGGAAAGAGAAAGATTGTCATCAAGTAGTCATTTTACAAACACCCTTCATCTTCTATGTCTGTTTAACCTCATGGGCTGCTCATTATAACAATAAGGCTTGGTAACAATACTAGTGTTGATGCTTATGAGCATACCGATGCTGTTTATCTGAAGTAGCCAAGTGAGTGCCTCATAGGTTGGCAGCCCCTATGCTAGAAACTGCTATAGACAGCTAAAATGGCTCACTGTAAATAGACACCTCTAGGAAATCCTAACACTCTCATCTGTCAGAGAACGCATGACAGTCCTCCCCTAATCTTATAGTAGCTAAGATTTACTCAAAGCTTCCACTTGGACATAGACACAGATTCATTCATTCTTTTTTTTCTTTTGATTTTTTTACTCAAACTTATCCACTAATCAAGTTAAATTTAACAAAACATAGAAAAAAACAATATTATATGTAAGTTATCTTAAAAATTTGGCTGTACACATCAAATAATCACAAAACACTATGCTCATCTTCTGAAGAAATCCTACTCATCTTAATATGCCTTTTAACATCCTAAGCAAAATGTTACTATGGTATATTAACAAGCTTACTCTAAAAGTATCTCTAGAGGAAAGCACCTTAAATAGAATTATGCAGATTCTGTTAGTCAATAGGACAGTTCTGATTAAGTATGGTTACTATTTAAGCAACATTCCTTTGTTACCATTGGCTGTGCTTCTAAAGCAGTCTCTGATATGCTATAACCATAAACTATACTTAGAGCTTAGTACTTAGGTTTGGAAGGGCAAATATAATAGTTTTTTTCTTGCCCATTATGTTTAATCCACTGGGAGGTGTTGCTTGAAGGTCTGCATTGAGGAGTTTGAGCCCGTATCCAGGAAAGTTCAGTATTCAAAGAAGGCTATGATTGATTAGCTATGTCTGCCATGCGGCAGGAAGGAACATGTGTGGCAGGCTGATCTAGGACTTTTCTAAAATAAGCTAAAATAAGTCACCACTTTTGTGTATTCTTAATCATACTGGCATAAAATCAAAGGATAACAAAATTGGAAACATTAGCCTTTAAAATGTTCTTTACTGTATCAGACAAAAAATATTAAGAGTATTTTTTTTAGAGTTCTGTTTTGTTTTTTTGTTTTGTTTTTTGCTAAGGGCATGTGTACTTGCCAGAAAGACAGAGATAGAGAGACAGAAAGTACGAAATCACCCCCCGGGGGGTTGGCCATGCTGCAATTCCTTCTCCTCCATTCTCCTCTTGGGATCTTGGGCATGCATATACACACGCCCATTTTAAGTTTAAGTCACCAGGTCCGGGACTCGAACTACAGTCGACTACATGGGAATCCAGCCAAATAGCCATTACACCAACTGCTGGTCCCAAGAGTATTTTTATAATTAAGTCATACAATGATTTTTTTCCTCCCAATCACTGGTTATATGCATTTATTAAAATTAAGGCTGTGATTTCACTGAAGCTATGCTATCACTATATAAATTCCATTTAAATGTGAGAAAATTATAGTAATAATGATCCATATGTTACTGGAGCAGGTGCTTTAGAATTCCAGATGTAATAATCAGAAGAAATTAGTTTCCGGTGTGTACTTATTTTTGGTTTTCCTGATGCAAAAACTTGAACTGAATGCTGATCCGCATAACACCCAGTGAGTGTGCAATCTAAGTTCTTAAAATGAAGCTTTAAATATGCTGTACCTCCAATACAAATCTGGTCAAATGGCTGCTTCTCTTGATTCTTGGTTCCAAAAGTTATAGTTCCAGAAAGATTAATTCCCATTGATTTTGGAAACTTCCGGCCAATAACCCAGATTAATAAGTTTTTCTTTCGAAATACTTCAAGCTGGCCAAAACTAACTTTGTATCCCAAATGTGTAATTGGACCTCTATTGTAAAAGGGTATATGAGCTTCACAAAATTCAAAATTATTTTTTACATGTTCATGAAGTTTTAAATTAATTGCTATTTTTAGTTGTACGTTTCCTCTTTCACTTGATAAAAACCCAAAATTGGTGGGATAGGGACCTGGGAAGAATAGTGACACAAGTGGAATGATTCTGAAGGTGGAGTGAATGGAAGTTTATAAGGCCGACTAAATGCAGAATCATCCATTGCATACATGCTATTAATTGCTATTTTTAGTTGTACGTTTCCTCTTTCACTTGATAAAAACCCAAAATTGGTGGGATAGGGACCTGGGAAGAATAGTGACACAAGTGGAATGATTCTGAAGGTGGAGTGAATGGAAGTTTATAAGGCCCACTAAATGCAGAATCATCCATTGCATCAATGCTACTAGAAGTAAGAATGGCAGAGTCAAGAGAAGGATGAACTGGAACATCTTGAAGTGGCAATCCATTGGTGGGGAGACTCAAGCTGATGGTAACATTTGACATGACTCCTTCCAAATCACACTTGCAAGCACGTGTTCCAACTTGCCAGGTATCCACTACATCCTGTTCATCATATTGTGTGGACTTTACCTTTTGTGTGATGGAAATAGAAACCTGTGGTTGTCCTTTGTATGTCCCAGCTCTCCAGGCTGGCTGTCTGTGTGGGTGGGTCACAGAAGCAAAGTTAATATTATCCAGTGAATTCTGCGAGTCGGCATCTAATAAAGTGCCAAATGGACACGCCTACAGAAGCAGGTCAGGTAACTGGTTCAATTTTGCATTTAACTCACTGTCACTTTTTTGACCTGAGTAAAGAAAATCTTGTATCCCAAAAAGCAGTTCAAAGCCTTGTGAAATTCCACTAAAGTTAGTTAACAGTGGATGAGGGGAGAGAGTTTGCTCAACTAGTGGAATACAAGCATCTATCATGCTATTCTTTAGAAAAGCAACAACCGACCAGAGCTCTTCACCTCCTACAATGACATAGATGGACGTTTTACTGATGTGTGAACAACTCTCACGGCTCTCCATGAAGTCTTCATCATCATCCAATAATCTAAGTTTGAAGAGTACTGCTCTAAGAAAGGGACCATCATGGGACCAGCAGTTAGCGTAATGGCTATGTTGCTGGAATCCCATGTGGTCAACCATGGTCCAAGTCCCCGACAAGTGGCTTAAAACTCACACCAGGCACGTGTGCATGCGTGCCCAAGATCCTGAGAGGAGAATGGAGGAGAAGGGATTACGGCGTGGCCATCCCCCTTGGGGTGGGGGGGGGGCCACGCAGATGATTTCTCACTTTCTGTCTCTCTGTCTCTGTCTGGCAAGCACACACGCCCTGTAGAGGAAAAAAAAAGAAGAAGAAGAAGAAGAAGAAAGGGTCCATCTTTGGGAATAGGCACATAACTTGCTCCATTGAAGATTCTGGCTTGTTTTTCTACAGTTGGATTCTGCCTGGAAAAATCTCACAGTGCCACCAAGAGGAGTTCCCGGTTCGTGGCTTATGAGCCACACTGCCCGCTGGGCCATGCATGGTAAGGCACTAAAACATCAGCTCATGTCATAACTAAGGGTGCCACCAACGAAAAGGGTAGGTTTTCTCAGATAAACTCTTACAAGAGCCCCGCAGCTCATCCTGCACCACATGGGGTTGGGGGGGTTCAGAGAGAAGCTAGCTCCCTACGGTGAGGTGACTAAAACCTCTCAGTCCCTCCCGCTCAATACACACCACAAAAAGTCCTAACGAGGCACCTAGAATCCTCTTCATTCGTTCTTCAATCAGTCTGCTACCCTGCAAGACCAAGGTTTGAGAAAAGTCACAAAGTCTCAAAAGCAACTTGAAATTGATAAATCCCTGAGCTTCAGTTTCTGGGCCAAAAAGAGTTAAGATTTGTCAGCTTCAAGTCACTAGAGGTTTTAGAAGTCAGTCAAATTTGCCGACTCAACATGTTTTGCTTCCAATAGGAAAGATGCCAACTGAAGCTGAATGGTAAAAGAGATTTCCAGGGAGTGGTAAAACTAAGAAGGCAGGAGAAGGGACATGTGTGGTAATAGTAATAATTTCTACTTCACACAACCTGACAGCACCGGGTATTCTGTCTCCTTTCTCCACCATGCTTTTTGAGTTAAATAGTATTCTGGTCCTTTAACAAGTGGAGAAATTAGAATGGTGACATAAATAAGCTAGCTCCAGGACATTTGGAGAATTCAAGACTAAAATCTTTGGATATCTTTTTTTTTTTTTTTTTTTTTTTTTTTT